AATTAATTTTTGAAGATTTACCTCAACAAACACGTTGGTTATTTATATTTTTAACTATAATACATGCATCACCATTATTAATTTCATTTATGTCATTAGCAAAAGTATCGTATGATTTTCATCGTATCAAAGATCATATACCATCAATGCAATTACAATTAAAATATAATTTACGAATTAAATTGAAATATGATAATCTTTATGAACGGCTAATGTTTGGTAGAAAAATCTGCTATACATTTGGTTATCTGGGTAATCTAACATTTCGTGGCCTGTTTGAAGGATGTTTACTTTATATTATGGCTTTTTTCTTGGTTATCAAATTTTATATGGAATCAAAAAAATTGATTTGATTTTTTTTGTTCAAAATAATTTTTAAATATAAAAACTATTTCAACCAATTTCGACATTGATCGGTCATTATTATTTCGGAAAATTTTGTTTTTGTTAACCTCCCCCCACTCATTTTCTGTACATATAATGGTTGATTTTTTTTTAATGTAAAATCTTTAATGTAAATAATTTATTGAATTTTATCTAATGTTTTTAATGTTGTCACTTACACACACACTATTTCGATCGATTTCATAATAATTGTTTGTTTAGCTTTTTTTTATAAAAGAATCAATATTAATGGTAATTGTTTAATCAGATAATTAATGATAATGTTCATTATCTTTTTTTTACCTTCTTCATTATCATCACTAATGATTTTTTTTGTTTTGTTATTAATTTCGTAATTCCTTAATTAATTTATGTATCATTATGCGGGAGTTTTTTTTGGCGTAAACTCAAAACAAAAACCAAGATATTTTTTTTTTCATTAAAAATGTTTACATTTCAATAGATACTACTAAAACGAAACTGGTGTAAAGACAATTGTTTTATTTATAAATAAAAAAATGTTATTTGAATTTAAAAATTTCCTTTATAAATCAATCAAACATATTGTTAATGAATATGGTACTCGACAATATCGATTACAACATTATTTGGATATTATATTTTATCTTTATTGGTTAATACGATTATTATTTGTTAGTTTAATGTATTTGGATTCAGAATTATTTCAATGGTATCATTATGATTATACATCAGCATATTTTTGGCAATATAGAAAAATTCTTAATAAATTTTTCATTATCGTTAGTTTATTGTTTATAATGGTCGGATTGATTTGTATTCGAACATTTTTCTTTCACCGTGTGGATACATTAAGTTTTCAATTACTATATGATTGTATTGTTTACAATACTGATCAATATCATAAAAGTATGGATAGTGAAGATAACATTCAAATCAAAAAATGTCGACGTCTAAATCATTATCGACAACGATTTCAACAAAATCATCCATTCATAGTGAAAATAGTTCCAAAATTTATTCAAAAAAAATTATTCAAATTTCGTTGTTGGTTA